ACAGTAATAATAAAAAACGTTAGATACTCCGCACGATTAAGAAAAAACTCAACCACCACGTTTTCTTTCCTTTCCTTCCTTTTCCCTTCTCTTCCCCCTCCATTCCCTATCTTCCCCTCTCGTTCCTTCCCTTCCCTCCCGTTCCCTCCCCTTCCCATTCCCTCCCACTCTCTCCCGTTCCCTCCCATTTCTTCCCCTTCCCTCCCATTCCCTCCCTCCCCCTCCCCTCCCACTCTCTCCCGTTCCCTCCCATTTCCTCCCTTCCCCTCCTGTTCCCTCCCTTTCCCTTCCATTCCCTCCCATTAACTTCCCTGCCCTACCATTCCCTCCCCTCCCCCTCCCCTCCTTTCCCCCTCCCCCTCCCCTCCTTTCCCCCTCCCACTCCCACTCCCTCCCGTTCCCCCTCCCCTCCTTTCCCCCTCCCACTCCCACTCCCTCCCGTTCCCTCCGTCGGTCCAGGTTGCGGAGGCGAGCTGACGAAGGCTTCCGGATCCTTCAACAGCCCGAACTACCCGAACGCGTACCCGATCAACACCGACTGCGAGTGGCATATCCGGACGGCCCCGGGCACCAGGATCGAGATCACGGTGCACGACTTCGATCTGGAGAGCTTTGGCAACTGCGTTTTCGATTCGCTGAAGGTAAGGACGAGGGTTTCCTGGGAGGGGGAGGGGGGAGGGGGGATGGAGGTTTCGTGAGTGTTTGGTAAGGTAAGGAAGAGGTTTCAAAGAGTGGATTGTAAGGGAATAGGGAGGTTTCACGTTGTCTTGAAGGTAGACCCGAGGTTTCACGTTGTCTTGAAGGTAGACCCGAGGTTTCACGTTGTCTTGAAGGTAGGCCCGAGGTTTCACGTTGTCTTGAAGGTAGGCCCGAGGTTTCACGTTGTCTTGAAGGTAGGCCCGAGGTTTCACGTTGTCTTGAAGGTAGGCCCGAGGTTTCACGTTGTCTTGAAGGTAGGCCCGAGGTTTCACGTTGTCTTGAAGGTAGGCCCGAGGTTTCACGTTGTCTTGAAGGTAGGCCCGAGGTTTCACGTTGTCTTGAAGGTAGGCCCGAGGTTTCACGTTGTCTTGAAGGTAGGCCCGAGGTTTCACGTTGTCTTGAAGGTAGGCCCGAGGTTTCACGTTGTCTTGAAGGTAGGCCCGAGGTTTCACGTTGTCTTGAAGGTAGGCCCGAGATTTCACGTTGTCTTAAAGGTAGGCCCGAGGTTTCACGTTGTCTTGAAGGTAGGCCCGAGGTTTCACGTTGTCTTGAAGGTAGGCCCGAGGTTTCACGTTGTCTTGAAGGTAGGCCCGAGGTTTCACGTTGTCTTGAAGGTAGGCCCGAGGTTTCACGTTGTCTTGAAGGTAGGCCCGAGGTTTCACGTTGTCTTGAAGGTAGGCCCGAGGTTTCACGTTGTCTTGAAGGTAGGCCCGAGGTTTCACGTTGTCTTGAAGGTAGGCCCGAGGTTTCACGTTGTCTTGAAGGTAGGCCCGAAGTTTCACGTTGTCTTGAAGGTAGGCCCGAGGTTTCACGTTGTCTTGAAGGTAGACCCGAGGTTTCACGTTGTCTTGAAGGTAGACCCGAGGTTTCACGTTGTCTTGAAGGAAGGCCCGAGGTTTCACGTTGTCTTGAAGGAAGGCCCGAGATTTCACGTTGTCTTGAAGGTAGGCCCGAGATTTCACGTTGTCTTAAAGGTAGGCCCGAGGTTTCACGTTGTCTTGAAGGTAGACCCGAGGTTTCACGGCTCGGATAGAAGGTAAGGGCCAAGTTTTACGAATAGGTTTCGTGTTGTTTAATGATAAGATGAATTTCCATGATGTACATTAAAGATAAGAAGACAATATATAAAACAGACAGATAAATATATATATATATAAATACCTAGACTCAGACAGGCAGACAAGCAGATCCTCATATAGATACAAACCTCACCATCATCACCGCCATCACCACCATCATCATCACCATCACCACCATCATCACCACCATCATCACCACCATCATCACCACCATCATCACCACCATCATCACCACCATCACCACCATCATCATCACCATCACCACCATCACCACCACCATCACCACCATCATCACCATCATCATCATCACCATCATCACCATCGCCACCATCATCACCATCATCATCACCACCATCATCACCACCATCATCACCACCATCATTACCATCATTACCATCACCGCAGATCTACGGAGGCCCCGATGCGTCATCCCCCGAACTGCAGACGTTGTGTCACCGGCAGACGAACCCCATCGTCGCTACTACGCAAGGCAACCAGGCTTTCCTCTCCCTTCATAGCGACCAGTCCGTCAGGGGGAAAGGATTCAATGCCACTTACAGGACTCTGCATGATGGTTGGTGCAAGGGATCTGTTTTTTTTCTTTCTTTCTTTCGTTCATTTTTGTTTGTGTTTTGTTCTTTTGTTTCGTTTTTGTTTTTGTTTTGTTTTCTTTGTTTCTTTCTTTCAGTGTTTTGTTTTGTTTCTTTATGTTTCTTTCTTTT